AGTGCTAGAGTCCAGTTCTCCAGCCTCCTTTCTTCCCTGGTTTGAGCTCATATTTGATCTCTGCTGCCTCTCCTTTTTGCTGGCTGACCTCATCTTTAACCTCTGATCTTTGCCTTCTCCTTGGGCGACCCCATCCAAACTGGAGTCCAAGATCCTGGCCAGGCCTGTTCAGCATTGCCGACTTGTCCCTGATTTTCTGCTGCTCTCTAGCGGTCACTGGTGTGAGGCATCTCTTCAGACATGGCATTGACCTTCTGGATGCCAGACCATGTGTGACCCAATGGACAAGTTCCCTCAGAATTTAGAGATAAAAAATGTCATCTTCTAAAACAGAAATAGTCCCAAACAAATGTACTTGGCCACCTGAAGAAGTTAGCCATCCCAAGAGAGGCAGTGAGGGTAGGGAATCTAGGATCCTAGATTTGAGAGCTAAGACTATGAAATAAGACCCACGAGCATCCGTGACTTTAGGCAAGTCATTCAGTCTCTGTGAGCCTCAGTTTCTCTCAGATGAGACAGATCTTTGTCCTACGTGCCGCATGAGATTATAAAAACAAACCAGTTGCCCTTGAGTCAATTCCAACTCTTGGTGACTCCATGTATGTCAGAGTAGAACGTGCTCCATAGGGTTTTCAATGGTTGATTTTTTTCAGAAGTAGATCACCAGGCCTTTTTTCTGGGGCCCCTATGGATGGACTTAAACTTCCAACCTTTTTGTAAGCAGCTGAGTACATTAAACACTTGCACCACCCAGGGACTCATGAGATTATAGTGACAATCAAATAAGACAGTGGATGTTAAGTGCTTTGTAAAGTATAAAGGGCTACACAAGTTTGAGGTAAGAGATGATTTGTAAAAGTTGAGATTAAAATGTTTTAAGTCTTGATCAGAACCCTGGTGGCACAGTGGTTAACAGCTCTGCTGCCAACCAAAAGGTCAGCAGTCCAAGTCCACCAGCCGTTCCCTGGGAATCGTAAGGGGCAGTTCTACTCTGTTCTATAGGGTCACTATGAGTCAGGATCGACTCAACAGTAAAGGGTTTTTTTTTTTTTTTAAGTCTTGATCAGGAATCAAATACTGTGTTAAGGACTTGGCAAGCATTTAGTTTAGTTCTCTCAATAACCCTAAAAGGCCGATACTATTATTATCCCTATTTTATAGATGAGGAAACTGAGGGACAAAGAGGTTAAGTGAATTACCCAGAGCCACTCAGTTAGCAAATTATAGAACTCAGTTTTGATACTTGGTCTGCCTCACTCTAGAGGCTGAACTCTTAACTACAACCCTTGGTGATTCCCTTGGAACATCTTATTCTGGGCCTATGCTGACCAAACAGTCTTCTGATACATAATTTATTCTCCTGAATGGATCTCATTATTAAGAAGGAGTATTCTGTGCAAATAAAAGGCCCTAATTCTTGAATCCAGCATGTTGTTGTTGTTGTGTGCTGTCGAATCAATTCTGACTCATAGTGACCCCATGTGACAGAGTAGAACTGTCCCATAGAGTTTCCTAGGCAGTAATCTTTATGAGAGCAGAAGGCCAGGTCTTTTCTCCGGCAGAGCCGCTGGGTAGGTTCGAACCACTGACCTTTCAGTTAGCACCTGAATCCAGCATAGTTTCTGACATAAATTAGCATATTTTCATTCTAGGCTTGGTTGATGTAGGTCTTTACCTTTGGGTGAGCTGAGAGAATTCAATTTCTGTGTCTGCAGAGCTGAAAAGAGAACCTGGGCCCTGTGGTGAGCACCCCTCTCCAGAGGACCACCGTACTCTCCATCCCCCCACTCTGCCAGGATGGCCACCTCTCTTGGCCATATGACCTAGGTGGATGGACTGGAGAATGTTTGGGCTAGTACATTTGACCATTGGTAATTCTGTGCAGAGCTGAGACATAAACTTCTGGAATCACTTATGTAGCAAGATGAAAACCATGTTATCTTAACAACTCGTACCAGAATCTCCTTTAGAGAGGAGACAGTCTTTGCTCAGGAAAACATTGCCACTCTGGGTAGAAGGAGATAACCAGTGGGCATGGGTGGTGTCAAAAGCCCAAGGCAGCAAAGGATAATTGCCACACAGCTTTGTCTATGACTAGGGCAGCAAGGAGAGGGGGAATCAGACAGGGGAGAGAGGAGCCAGGGAGAGGATTTTAGCTGTGTAGGTGGATGCCTATAGTACTCTCAGAAATGGTTTAAGTGGTTGCAGGTATCCCTCCTGTACTTCCATCCCTCCACCCTCCACAGTAAAGTCTTCTACCCTCATGAATGCATTGTGGGGCTGTGGAGTATTGGTAAAATCATGGAAGGGGCCAGATTGACACATGTAGAAGAGAGACTCCCAGAATCCATAGAAATCTTGATACCTAGGGTTTCAAAGGTCCACAGGGCACTAAATGCACTAACTAAGGGTCCAGAATGATTTTGTCTAGATCTCAAAGGGACCAGGAGACTGTAGCTGGTATCTGGGTTGTATTTACAGTCACCATTGTCTTTAAAGACTCTACCAGCTGTCACTCACACAGATCTTCCTCAAAGGCAGACAGAAGGAATTAGCACCTGGTGAAGATGAGAGGAGACAAGGATGAGGATGTGGTAGGAACAAGAGACTAGGGAAGTGGGATGAGAAATCTGGAGATGGGGAAGCTATCCATTCATAAGAATCCTGATCCATCCATTCATAAGAATTCTGATTCATCAAGAATATTCCCACTCAGAAGCTAACTCATTTTGTCATTCCATTGTTATTCAAAGAATCCAAGAAGGTACAATGCCTGTATATTTGGGGCCAGATCAAAATGATGGAGGAATATTCACCTGCTTTTTTGTTTCTTGAATGTATCCTTCCTTAGACTTTCTAAATAAGAGCTTGGGGTGGGGGTGCAGTAGGGATACAAGCTACACACTCAGCAGCATACCTACAAACAAAGGCCCTGAGTCAGAATCCTCCGTGACCTTCAGGAAAATCTGTCAAGAAGAGAAAAAGAGAGAATTTGGTTTAGACATTCCCACTCTCAGAAAAATCAAACCCAAGCTCAATTTTGTTGTGTATTGCTTCATAATGGGAAGAAAATACATATGACTCTTTAAGAACACAGTCTTCTATAAATATAAAAATGTGTGGACACTGTGACCATGACTACATAAAATACGTATGTATATGAACAAAGACAGGAGCAAGAATGCCAAAAATGAACATAGTTGCTATACTTGGGTAAGAATTATGGCTTTTTGCTTTTATGAAACTTTCCTTTAGTGTTAGGGTTTTTAAAAGAGCCATCTCTTACTGCACCAGAGAGAAACCAGCTGGAATCTCTACCTTACCTCTTCCAGGGGCGTGTCTGAAATTCCAAAACTGCTGAGCCCCAGGTCAGCCAGTGTCTCCTCTAGCTCCCTGAAAAGGCTGGCATATGCTCTCTGCTTGAAATTCTTGTTGGGAAGAAGGAAGATAAGTTCTTGGCCAATGCATTCCACCAGCTTTGCTTCTGGAACATGGTGGTGAACCATTTTCATCAGCTCATTCACATCACCTGAAAAAAAAAAAAAAAACCCATTGCTGTTGAGTCGGACTCATAGCAACCCTATAGGACAGAGTAGAACTGCCCCATAGAGTTTCCAAGGAGCACCTGGTGGATTCGAACTGCCAACCTCTTTGGTTAGCAGCTATAGCTCTTAACCACTGCACCATCAGGATTTCCATCACCTAGGACAAGAAAAAAAGACTGATGCCAACTCTATTTTCCAGAACCTGATTGTTTATCGAGATGGGAGATTATGAAGCTCCCCTACTTTCTTCCACCTCCCAGTTGGGCATTTAGATACCCAATAGTGATTCTTTTGGAGGACTGCCACTCCCTGTGATGGACTCTGAGAGGTAGATGGAGACGGAAGCAAAAGTGCTCCCACTAACTGGCTGTGTAGCCCTGGGGAGGTTGTGTCATGTCCTTGTGCCAGCGTCTTCCTTTGTTCAATCACTTGTTCTGTCCCTTATAAGCTCTGTTACACTGGGCAGGTTGTATCCTCATCTGTGAAAAGGGCCAAATAATAGTACCTACTTCTTAGTTGTTTGTGAAGGTTTGGATGAGTTACACATAAAGCACTCAGAACAGTGCCTCATGGATAGATGAGTGTTGTTGGTAGTCGCCATTGAGTCAATTCCAACTCATGGCAACCTGATGTGTGCAGAGTAGAACTGCTCCATAGGGTTTTCAAGGCTGTGACCTTTCAATAGCAGATCACCAGGCCTGTTCCCTGAGGAGCCTCTGGGGGCGGGTTCTACCTGCCAACCTTTTGGCTGGTAGTTGAGCACTTAACCGTTTGTGCCACCCAGTTACTACTGTTATTATGAACATCATGTCAGGTAAGAAAGCTCTTCATTCTTGTTGCCTGTTCTCGTTCACCACAAGCCTGAGGGTTAAGGGTTAAGTCAAAGTTGTCTTCATTTTCCTGGTCTGGCCCAAGCTATAGGGGACTTTGCCCAAGACACACACCTGGAACTGATGGCCAAGCCAGCGTGAGAACTCCTTTCCCTAAATCCCATACCCATACCTGGTCTAACTTTTTAGAGAACTGAACCATTTTCGAAGCCCTGGTGGTGTAGTAATTAAGAGTTTGGCTGCTAACCAAAAGGTCAGCAGTTTGAATTCACCAGCCGCTCCTTGGAAACCCTATGGGGCAGCTCTACTCTGTCCTATAGGGTCACTATGAGTTGAAATCGACTCAATGGCAACCGGTTTAGTTTTTGGTTTTTGGTGCCATTTTCCTTGAGATTGCGGCTGCCTCCTCAAACAAAACAAAACTTAATATCCAGGTCCCAGGAAATTCAGAAGGGTGTTGAGGAGCTGTGGAGAGGGGCCAGAGGGATGGGGCATGGGGTGGGCAGCAGGGGGTGTGGGGAAGTGCCAAGTAGCAAGTACTTACCTGATACCCTTCTACATTAGGAAATGACTTTTGTACACAAGCATGTGTTACTTTAAAATAAAAAATTTTAATTAAAATTTCTAATTAAAAAAGATAAAAGCATGTATTTGAAGAGCCAGTCCCTAGCACATTCTCTTGAGAGGCAGGTCAAAGGGAAAGGGGTTCCGGAAACTTCTCATTCTCTCCCACAAGTTGTTCTCTTACAGAGTTAGGATCACCCAGAGGACTTTTTTTTCCTTCTTTGTTTTTAAAATGACCTCTTTCATGGCTTTCAACCCAAATCCTTTTGCTCAGTTGGATTGGTAAGGCTTGCTTTATGTCAAGCCTACAAATTGGACTTGATTGTCTTTAGCTCTGGGATGACTTCATACAGAGGCTGAAGAGATCTTTACGTGAGGAAGCAGCTCTGCCCTGATCGCTCTCTAGGGGTTAAGTTCATTGTTCTCTGAGGAAGGAAATTGAGCCTGAAGCTGCTGGATTCCCAGGAATTGTGTCTGAGATGTGTGTGTCAGCCTTTCCAGAAGTAGACCTTTAGGTCAGCAGGACTTTCGGCGTCTGGCAGGAGGCCTGTGAGTGTGTGTGGTATGTGGATGTGGGTGTGTGAGCTTTTCAAGGAGCTAACTGGGGATTAAAATGATCTTCCCTCCCTTACTTGGGGCACAACTATTTACTCTGCTTCT